AAAAGAAAAGAAAAGAAAAGAAAAGAAAAGAAAAGAAAAGAAAAGAAAAGAAAAAAAAAGGGGGGGGGGAATCTCTTGCTAAACGTACCCATTTCCTTCCTGCGCTTCCGGTGAGGATTCGTCTTGCAGCAGGCCTCCACGGCGTTCCAGATGATCAGGATAGCGAGAATACCGGTGAGCGCAGATTGCACCGCAATCAAAACCACGCCCGTGATGGTTTGTGTCGTCTGCCGGATGCCAAACTGTTCCACGAACACGAGGATGCAGGCCACCGACAACACGCGGACCACCTGGATGACGATGTGGATGATGTTGCCCGAACGGCGTTCGAACGGCTTCTTCCAGAGCAGCAAGCCGAGCAGCAGCGCCTCGACGATGAGCTGGCCCGAAGCCTGGACGAGGCCGTGCCCGTTGCCCGCGGCGATGATGCAGCCCTTGGCGAACATGTACAGGATCACCGGCACGAACAGCCACCAGTAATCCTTCTTGTACGAGTCGTAGAAGAGCGAGTACTTGACCCAGATCTCCTTCTTCTCGTACAGCCCAGACGGGTCGCCCTCGGCCTGCTTGAGCTTGCGCGCCGTCGACCAAATCTTCCACGTGAAGAAGGCGAGGATGCCGGTGAAGATGGCCAGGGTCACGCCGGCGAGCGTCTTGGCCGCCCACGAGTCGCCGTGCGTGAACTGGAAGACGCAGTAGAGCACCCAGACGCCGTAGAGGAGCAGGATAAGCGACGTGATGGCCCGGGCAATGGAGCCCCAATAGTGCTCGCGGAACCCGGCAAGGCTCTGGGGGAAGCTGCCGAATAGCGCCCAGAACTCCAGTACCACCTTGACGAGCAGGATGCTCACGACGATGGCCGCGACGACAATGGCCACAATGAGCAAGACGGTCATGAACGTGTTGGACTGCGGCACGCTCAGTTGCTCGACGTAGGCCTGGATGCCCTCGACCGTCTTGGTCAGGTCGTCCGAGCCGCCGGATCCGCCGCCTTCGCCGCCCACGCTCGTCTCGATTTGCCGCGCCAGGAGCACGGAGAAGTCCTGCAGCGCTCTCTTGGCGCCCATAAAGCCCTCGCTGCTCTGGGACGTCGACTCGTCGGGGAAGACGAGCGTTGTCTTCCGGAGGAGCTCAAAGCTGTCCTTGGTCAGGTCGCCGCCGGTGGCGCCGCGGAAGTCGTCGATGCCCTGCTGCAACTGGGACCAGGGAAGGAGGCCGGTGGAGAAGGCAAAGTTCTTGGTGAAGCTACGGTAGACGGGCGGATAGTTGACCGACAACATGCCGTTCATGGCCATTCCTTGGAACCAGCCCACCGTCTCGGTGAAGCTGGGGCTCGGCGTGCCGCCACCGGCCGCTGCGCCGCCGCCGGACAGAACAGCCCCCAGGGCGGAGACGCCAGTGGCAATGAGGGCGAGACCCGCAACGCCGCAAGCGACATACGAAACGACGGCCAAGTCGGTCGTCTTGCCGTTGGTGACCCGGGACTGAATGCAAGCCACGCTCTCGCCACCGTCCTCTTTCGAATTCAGTTTCAGGGTTGCTTGGGCGGCGATATCAGGGACCTGGAAGGCGATATTCGGGACCATATCGGCGAATTCGGCGGGAATCTCCTGCACTCCGCGAGCACCAAAGGTTCCCTCGGGCACTAGCAACTAGTTGTTAGCATTGCGGACCCGTCGTGTTGCTCCTTTGGCCCCTCGAGAACTCTTGTGATAGAAGGGGCTTCTTACCAGGACAGAGCTGCGAGACAAAAGTAGAGCGATGGCAGGGGTCGAAAGTGTTGGCATAGATTTCATTTCCATAGGCGGTGACCCGGAGCTCGGCCGTCACATTTTGCACCTTGGTGCTGGTGCCCTCGACGTCGAACGTGATGGTCTTGTTTCCGTGGTTGTACGCGATATCCACCCTTTGTACCTGGATGGCCTCGTTGGGGCCGCAGTTGGTGAATCCGATGGTAGAGAGGATGTTGTCACACACGACGCCACTGGCCAGGGCAGAAATAGCCAACATCAACTTTCCTGGCCCCCATTTGAAGCGTGGATGCCGTGACATGGCTGTTGTTGTTTTTCGTTGTTTTGTGATGGTGCTATGTAGTAGTTGCTGTCAGATGTTGAAAATGGATGTGACGGTTGCGAAAGTTCGTGTTCAGGGAGTCGGTCCCGAAGATTGTAAAAAATCGGTCTATACCTCCGACGTATTCTATCCGTTATAGGAATTCCAAAAATTTCCTTTTTCGCTAAACAAAAAAAGAGACCCAGAATGTTATGCTGGCATGGAGTGGCTGTCTGAGTGCGATATTTTTCGTGGTGTTCGCTATTGTTTTGCGGTATAATGAAAGATGTCGGCCAGTCCCTCTGGGATACCGGTTCAGAAAATGCCGGAAAAATGAATGGGGAGGAGTTAAAAAAAGTGTATATCGTAAAGGGGCGACTCGATCAAGAGGCGTCAGAATCGGAGGTTGGGATAAAGAGTGATTGTTTCGATGGGCGGACGGACGGTCGGCGGACACACAAAGGTGTCAAAGAAGCACAGCTTTGAGTAAAAGAAGATGGCCAAGGATCAACCTGGAACGAATAGAAAACAAAGCAAACGGTCGCGAATGGTGATGGAGTGAAGGGAGTGGCCCGGAGTTGAAGGAGCTTTCCCTTTCACTCTCTCGATAGTTTTGGTATGGCCTCAATCTGCTCGAGGCAGTTGGGGGGGGTGCTGCTGCCAACGCTGTTGTTGATGGATGGGCGAACAGCGTTACGACAGAAGAAGAGTTAGGAGGGTAAGGATGGACCGAGAGAGTGCGAGCATAAGCGAGCGAGCGAGTGAGTGTCAGAAAGAGGGTGGAGGCCGAGTCGGGGATCTAAGTACCGAGACCGAGACCACGGCGGGTATTTTGAAACGAGCGGTTGAGTCGAGGACGTATGACGATGATGATGATGATGATGATGGATGCATACCAACAAATGGAGGCTAAAAAAGACTGACGCGCTAAGGAGAGACTGAACGAGGTAGCATTTGCGAAACGACGATGCAAATCAGTGGAGAGAGTGAATTGGCAAGAGGACAGGACGAGGAGAAGGGAGAGGCAGCTCAAGGGGAAGGCAGGAAAAAAAGGAAGATTGTCCGTGAGTCTCGAAATTGCAATGTTGATTGGTGGATAGGCGTTCAAACAGGGAAGGAAGTTGTACGGCGTACCTTACGTTGTATGAACAAGTTAATACCTGCAGTGCAGTACCGCACCTGCACCCCTGAAGGCTCTGTGTCTGTGCATCGATCCTGCCTGACCCAGACCCAGACCCAGACCCAGACCCAGACACGAGGAAAGCGGCAGTGGATACAGTATAGGTACGGAGGACTATTCGTACGTACGTTTTCGTAGAACGTATAGGTAATTAATTCGTTCGTACAATGTAATGTGTATTCTCTAGGTATCTTTCGGTCCATTAGCAGTGAGGAGGCTGTTGCATTATCCGTACTTCGAACGGTACACTATCGTGTCCATAGGTAGTGTTCGTTAAACGCTTACAACGGGCATCCCTGTCTTGGGTTACCATCACGATGATGCCGTCTCATCTGATATGGCGGCGAGCCCACGACAACTCATCACTTTGTATCTAGCCCGAACGCAGGGATCTAATTTCTGCCCCCCTTGTGCTAATTACAACGTACAGTGTACATACACAATCCACAGGAGAACGCTATGAAAACAAAAGACATCCATCCCCTGGTGGGCTATGTACACTAACTATTTCGACTTCTGCGACCATGTGGAGCCGTAACGTCTCATGTTAAATGTCCCGGCGCCGTTACCGCTTGGCTCGGCAGGGTTGACGTGGAGCTGTCCAGGGGTTCCGTTCCGTTCGCGCGCTTGTCATGCATTGATTGGCTGTGACCGCCGCCACGGTCTTGGCTTGCTCGGTTCTGAAACAGTCAGATGAGATAGGTACGGGGTACTTCGTAATAGGAGGTACAACGGTACCTATTAGTATTACCGCCCATTGCCTTTTGTTGTTCCTCGAACACAATCTTCCCCTATAAAAAGCTGGTTGCAGATAAACTGATGTTGAACTCGGAGGCTGACCTGAGGGTAGGTGTGGGTCGGAGTGGGGCGAAATGTTGAGCTGAGGGTAGTTATGGGGCTATGTATCTGGGTCACGTGACCAAACACCTTAAAAATTCGAGTTCCCTTACGAGAGTACATACGTGGCAAACTCGATATAAACTGTCGCGGCGTTTATTCTCAAGAAACACGTAAATCGTTGACTCCAACTTCCCCCATATCCTGGAGTGCAGTGCCCCAATTTCAAGGTGGGTATTGGTCGGAAAGCATTCTAAGGATGGGGGAAGACGCAAGCAAGACAGAAGACGCCATGTCAGGCAGGAAACCCTTGATCATTGACGGGCCCAGTCAACCACGTCAGTTTTCGGGGAGACAGGAGACAGGAGACAGCTGGCTCGACCATTCTCCCTTGATCAGACTGGTGCTATTCTGTTAGGGAATCGCAGAGCGGAACCCCCTCTTCCTCCTCCTCCCTCCCCCCTTTTCCCCAGGTCATGGCCATGCATCATCAACAGCTGTCCTCCGTGTCAACCGTGCTCATCTGCCGACGTGACCATCGACACCAGATAGGACCCAATCTGCTCGCTACGTGCCTAACGACGAATGCCTACCGACTACCGACTACATATGGAATGGCCCCGATGTGCACAGCATCATCATGAGTAGACCAGCAGATGTCTTGCATTTGGCCAACAAAACAGAAAAGCAGGTCCGTACAATATTCATATATACCCATAATACCGGACGATGTTCTATATCCAAGAATCCCAGAGAAGGAGATAATCCGGAGAGAAATGTGTACCATTTATAGCATGGGGTATTTGTAAAGGTCGTCATGGTAATCCAACTCGTCAGTTCTCTCGGCCTCGCTCATGAAATAAAGACCGCATCATGAAAGAAATCCTCCTCTATAATACTGAGTGGAAGGAAAATAGGAAGAACGAAATGAGGATGGTGAAAATCATGTGGTATCCTTCGTGGTCGGCCGTCAGACTGAAAAATAGGAAGAGAAGAAAACAGGGGAAAAAAGAAAGAAAAAAAAAAGGAAATCTAACACATCACAGTATATCAGCACCCCTGGTGAACTACCCTAGATCACTGACGGGGAAAGAACCCAGTCCCACCCTGCTGGGGCGATCGCGAGTAAGGCGAGTGGTCAGCCTGGCCAGAATAGCTAGTGGGTGTCATCATCCCCTGCCCTCCGAACATGTCGTATCCGATAGGCTGCTGCAGTCCCAGCCCAGTCTGATCAAAAGTCGGGAACGTTTCTAGAGGAGCCTGGGCAATCGGCATGTACTGTTGTTGTTGTTGTTGTTGCTGCTGCTGCTGCTGCTGCTGCTGCTGCCGAGGTGCGGTATACGAAGCAGCCGAAGCGGGAACCTGCTGGTAGAACGCATGCTGATGGTAGCCCCGTGCGCCGAGAGGAGACGAGTCCAAACCCGGATTCGGGCCCCCGAAATGGGAGGACAATGCGGGTCCCTGAAGGGGCGTTGTGTTCGCCACCGGGAAGCCAAAAGGTCCCTGCGAGCCGGATGGGGGTTGAGGGCACGCCATCACATTAGACGCGTCTAACATTTGACCGGCCGAATACCCCGGCTGCAGGAACTGGGCGAAGTGGTCCTGGTTTTCAGTTGGATTCGTAGAGTGCTGCCGTGGGCTTGGGCTCGGGAAAGGCGGCCCCCGCCCCGATTGGAGGAAGGACCGCGGCGGAGGGTCCTGGACCGGGCTGATGACGGTATCAGCCTTAAGCTCCCTGGCCGCCGCCAGGCGGAGCACGGGGAGGCTGATCTGCTCCATATGCTTGGCGAGATGGACCGTAAGTTTCTTCCACGAGGGGAACGTCTTCCCGCAGAAACGACACGCCTCGTCCTGCGGCTTCAGGCTCGTGTCCGTGTGGCACCTCTCCACTTTCTGCCAGATGGGATCGGCGGCCCCCGCGCGCTTCAACGCGGCCTTGGTCCGGACCTTGGGTTCCGGGAACCTGTGCTCGCGCACGAGGTGCTGCAGGAAGTTGTCGCGTCGGTAGCACGTGTGCCGGCAATCGTCCACGTCGCATGTCCACCACTCCAGGTGACGGTGTCCCTCGTTCTCGTGCCGCACCCAGTCCGCCTTGCGCTTGAAGACCTTGGGATCCCTGCACCCCTCCCACGTGCAGGTGAACGGCTGCACGTCCTCGTGCACATGCTTGGTCCAGTCGGATGGCTTGTTGAATTTCCTGGACTGGAAGCAGAGCTGGCACTCGAGTTCCGCCGGGAGATGCCGTGTCGGCGGCATGGGGATGTCCCGAGGGAAGCTTTCTTGCGTGATGGCGCCCTCCATCGGCGCTCCGCCCTCCTCAGCAGCTTCATCATACCTGCCCGATAAGGCGTCGTCCAACGCCCGCGAATCGCCTTTCTGGCCTATGACCCTGGCACTACCTCCCGAGCTAAGGCAGAGCCCGCCGCAAGGACAGTTTGCTCCGAGTTGCAAGTGCTTGACCCGGAGTTTGAGCAGGCCCTTGTAACGGATCGTCTGCTGGTGGGCGATGCGGTCTGCCAGGTAAGTATTCTGTGTTCCCAGGGCCGGGTTGAGACGGATGATGTGCTCGCGGAAGCCGGCCAACGTTGGTGTGATGTCCTCGATCAACTTGCCGGCATCCAGTTTCAGATTGCTGTCCTCGCGAAGCTCTTCGTCGTCGTCGTCGTCGTCGTCGTCGTGGTCCTCGTCTTCGGCTTCCAGCTTGACCGCAGTCGCCAGCGTCGCCACCGGAGGGCCGCCGTTCTTGCGCCACATGTCGGCGAGATTCGAATACGTCTCGCCGGTGCCGGTGCCGGTGCCGGTATTCCTGTGCAAGTCGGACTTGCTTCTCGGCCTTTGGAGTTTGTTCTTCACCTGCAGGCCGGTGAAGGGGCTCTTCGGCGACACGTTGGGGGCGGCGCTGATGGAGCCCGAACGGGCGTGAGTGGTGCCGATGGAAGCAACGCTGTTCCCCATGGAAACGAGAGCGGTGTTGATGCTGGGCGTCGGCATCTTCTTCGCGCCCCAGCTAGACGACCGGGAGGGCGGTGCTAGGTGGGGGAACGTCTCCCGCTTGTCAAGGGCCGGGGCCGGGGCCGGGGCAGGGGCAGGGGCAGGGGCAGGGGCAGGGGCCACGCCCTCTTCGCTGGTGCCATGCCCGTCGTCCTCATGCTGACTCCGAGCCCGTTTGAGGAGCTGGCTTGCACTTGGCCCTCGCACGAAGTCGCGCAGGTCCTTTAGGAGACTCGGGCGACGACCATTCTCTCGATCCGCCCGACTGATGGACAACTTCTTCAGAAGCCTCCCGCTAGTGATGCCTTCCATATCAAGGTCGATGAGGCTGGGCAAGCTACGTCGTCTGGTGCCCCAGGTCGCCGCCCTCGAGACGATCGACTCGTTATCTTGGCACATTCTGTTGAATCGAGCAATGGCCGCGTTGGACGACTCGGGCTGAAACCGACATCCGTTCGGGTCGAGGATGGGGTACGTCATCGGCGCATTCCCCCATCGGTGGTTCGAGTGTAGCATGTCCAGGTCCGTCTGATCCATATTGCCGCCCTGGGGAAGGATATAGAGCTGGCCCCCTTCAAACTTATTCTGGGTCAGATGCCCCAAAGGAATGCCGTCGTCAGGACTGTCGGCAGAAGAGGCTGGCTCGTTATACGGTCCCAGGCTCGGTTGGAGACGCTCCTGTGGAGGACTCTGTACCAAGCTGTCGGACAGCCACTGATCAACATTCTGGTTCTTTTCCTCGATCTCACGACGTGTCACCATCTCATTGACGCTCGCCACCTCGACGGACGGCCTTCTGCTGGGTTCAAGTCCTCCAGGGCCACCCCGGTGCGAGATAGAAGGGGCCCGACTGCGCATGATGTCTCCGTCGTGTTTGGGAGGAGGTGGTGGAGGAGGAGGCATGAATGCGGCCTGTGCATCGGAATACATGAGGTCACCTACTGCTGCCAAGCCCCTGGCGGACCTGCCGGGTTCGTCGCCGTCGCCGTCGCCGTCGCCGCCGTCGTCGTCGTCATCAAAGGTGAGGGTGCGCTCCAGTGATGGAGCGGTTGGAGCATCATCCTTGCCCCAGAGCGAAACCGTTACGCGCGGGCTCTGCACCTGCTCAGTCATGACAGGGTGCGGAGGCGGCGCGGCGATGCCGTCCTCGCTGGAACGGCCGCTTCGGCTGGGGTCTGGGGTGAGTTCGGAAGCGGGATGGAAGGGGGCGACTGGAATGTTTGTCGGGTGGGAAGTGAAAGGTTTATGAAGGTCTCTTGGTGAGACCGAAGGGGGAAGGAGGTCGACCTGTGAATGTGAATGTGAATGTGAATGTGAACGGGGGAAGGTCCTCTGGTCACAGACAGGGGACGCGGTGTGTATAGACGCCGTTTGGCCGGGACTGAGAGGGTAGGTTCCTTCGGATAGCGGGTCGGGGGACTCAGTCTGGCCGCCGCCGCGAATAGCGGAAGCCGCTGGGTTTTCGAAACTGTCGGTCCTACTCGCAGGTATGACATTATCTTCGTCCAAGAAGCTAGGACTGCAGCCCTCGAGGTCGTTGAAGTCAAGGCCGAAAAAAAAGTCAGGGTCGCCAAGTTCGCTGTATTCGCTCGGTTGCAGGTGGCTGTTCAGAGTAAGGACAGACTCGGCCGGGGTATTGGTATTATCCAGGCCAGGAGACGCGGCGTTGCTGTGGTAGGGCGTGGGGAAGGCAGAGAGGTGATTCGGGCTCGTCGTAGCGCCAGAGAATCGGGGGTCAAGATCGGCAGACGGTGCATCGTCCCGGGAGAGTGTGGGCGGGACGGGCTTGCGACGAAGATACGGACCAGACAAGGTGTAGCTCGAAGCCATCGCGGCCCGGGCCGAGGAGGAGGTGACGCGTTGAGCTAAAGTATTGCGTCGGAACGGAGGTTGAACCCCTGGAAAAAAGCAACGGGGGAAAGGACGCGATGATCCGGATGCGAATGGCCCTGGTGAGTACCAGGAACAATATTATTGGAACCTCAGGGAGTTGATGTCATCCTCCGCAGAAAGCCAATTGGCTCTGGAGGCAGCAGGGGGAAGTCTCGCGCGCCGAGTCGGAGAAGGCAAGATGAAATGAGAGGAGATTCAAGATGGACCGAGGGGCGAAGGACGATGCGCGAAGGACGAGGCGCGAAGGACGACGAGCGAGGGGCGAAGAGCGAGGAGAAAAGGCGGACTATAGAACAGGGCGGGGTGGACAGGGGCAGGCAGCCGCAGCGGCAATCGCGAAGCTTTGAATATCGATCAAGGCCTGGTGCATGGAGACGCGTGGGGTGAAAGTAGAAGACTGTATGTATCTGTGGTCTCGTCTCCCGATCTCGAAGAAACAAAATAGGGAATGAAGACGAGCCAACCGAGAGGTTTCGGTGACCGAATGAAAACGCAGAATGAGGACACGACCGCGCGCTTATGAAGACTTCTGCAACAAGAAACAGTGGTCAGTGGTCAGGGGGCATTGGGCAGCGCGGCAATAAACTGTTTAATTTGGGTAGGTCGAGAGCTTCCTCAGTCGCAGCATCTGCATGAGTAGGAGAGACACTGAAGATGAAGAGGAGAAGAGAAGAAGAGAAGAGAAGAGAAGAGAAAGAAGGACTGCAAAGCTGCTCGAGGCCGGTAGAGTCTAGATACCAAGTACTGCAGGTCTAGTGGCGGAGCGAAGCCTTCTCAGCCGCGGAAGCTGGGAACGTAATAGTGGGAGACAGTGGCTGGAGGCTATGATGCAGGGCTGTGGGTTGTGGGTTGTGGGTTGTGGGTTGTGGGTTGTGGGTTGTGGGTTGTGGGTTGTGGGTTCGGGGGGTTGCGGGGGGTTGGAATAGTTGGAATATGCCTTGCGGTGCTGTAACGCTGTACGTGCAGCCGTTTGATTCCAACAGTCGGGCGGTTGGGGAACCTTATGTCAGCGGCACGTTGTAATACTTCGTAGTACATTCGTAGAATACGTTGTAAGGTACAGGTAGTTGGGACCAAGAGGGTGGGGCAGAAGGTGAAAGTGGAGATGCGGGACAAATCCGCTGACGGCTGGGAGCGAATGTACACGTGTACCTACCCTACCTGAGCGAATGTGGCAGGGCAGCCAGGTGATAGGCTTGAATTCACTACTTCGTACGATGGTGGCAGTGATGATGGCGGTGCAGTGTCAACGAAACAGGATAAAGCTTTTGAGTCGGCTCCAATAGTGCAGTGCGTGTGGAGATTAGAGGGACAACACCAGATAACACAGGGCGACTGAAGGAAAGACCGACGAAATACCTAGAGACGAAGAGGATAAAGAAGAGGAGAAAAGAAAAGAAAAGGAGGGGTATTCCGTTCGTCTACCCAGGTAATCTCGAAACCGGAGGGAAGTCTCCGTGTACTACTAACTCTACACGTGTATAGGTAGCCCTCCTAGGATCGCAGGACACCGAGAGCGGGCGGCTTAGGAGTTTTGATTCCACAGCAGTGCCGAGCCATCGCATTCATCGCGACCAACCAGTTGATACCAACCTGTGATGTCGTTTCTCGGTTCACCGTTCTGGACGAAGTACGTACACAGCTGATTTGCTTGATTTGAGACGGGCGAGACGCTCAGAACAGTCAGGAATGTCGTCCAATCACGACTCGCTTATCTAAGCCGATTATCTCATTCCCCCTCCACATCACGAGCTCACCCAACACCGTTGCTCTCTCTCATCTTTATTCAAGGAAAGAGGCGACTCATCCGCCATCAGAATTCCAGCTGATCAACTTACTTCAAAGATCCCATGTTAAATGATTGAACTCCCAACAATACTTGTACACTTATATTCTCCATCTGATTTGATTTGAATTTGATCTGAGGCTGGTCGTCCGTGGAAACGACCAGGCCGTCGTCATGTTCCAGGTGCGTTCATCATTCCCTCCCTCGACCTTTGCAAATGTCTTCGGATGTCACGTAAAACATATACATACATATTCCCCACTTTATACTTACCCTCACCCTCCACTTGAACAGCCAAACCCCGAAGACCACCTCCACCTTCGCCTACACCGGGCCAGGTCCGTAGTCCTAACATCCGATGAGTACGTCGAAATCCAATGAAAGCCTCCCTTTTTCCTCCCCTCTTTCAGTCTCCAATATCCTCCGCTCTCCCGCTTATTTTCGGCCGTTCAATTCCCCACCAGGCTCGTCGAGATCCGCGCCGCCCAGCGCACCTTCGAGGGAGCCTACATGAGGACCGCCCTCGGCCAGTTCTCCTTTGCCCTCATCATCCTCAAAGTCTTCACCGCCGAGTTCTACGCCATCGGGGCCCTCTTCGCCGTCTACGGCGCCGCCGTCATGTTAGTCGCCATGTACCGCCGCTACGAGGGCAATCGCCAGTTCTTCACCTCCCCGGCACCCTGTCCCCACCACCACCACCATCCTCCTCCTCCTCGGCAGCAGCAGCAACAACAACCGCGCCAGGAGTACCGGCAGGAGCAGAACGGGGATGACGAAGACGACTACGAGCCGAGACCGCCGTGTGATCTGTGCCGCGCTTTCGGCGCCCCGGAGCCGGTCAGGAAGTTTCGGACCTCCGGGAACAGCGTCGCTTTGCTTGCGGCCTTCAGCCTCTCCGCTTATATTGTCCTCTTGGTCTTGACATGGCAGCTTACCCATGATCCCAGCAGTTAACTTTGGAACGCATGTTCAGCCGATCGACTGCGCCGGTGATGGGCACTGTAATCATGCATTTTCGTTTTGTGTGTGATTTGGTGTTTTGGACGTTGATGTGCAACTAAGAAAGTGTTAGATACCCCATAAGAGCTGTTTTCTTTTCTCGTCCCCCCCCTTTTTTTTATCCTCTCTACTTGTCCCCTCCTCATTCGACTTGCTTCGCCTGTTTGGCATGGCCTTGATGTTGAAAACCACCACAACATGCGGTAGAAAGCATGATTGCACCATGCCTACTGCCGCTTGGCAAACCTCACCGTACACCTCAAATCCTCCATATCACCACACATCGACGAAATATCTCGATAGCTCAAATGTATGTATAAAATAAAAGAGATATGCAGGCATATCATATACTTTTGCGTCCCCAAAGCCTCTATATATGCCGCCACTCACTCCCATTCGGCCCCCCTTGTTCTTTTGTCTTCTCGCCATCTCAAGATAAACCGTCTCAAACGCTGGGCACCCACCCACCGGCATTCTCCCTGCTGAGCCTCGAACTCTCTAGCCAACCAATGCCGCCCTGAAAAGCAAAAGAAGAAAGCAATTAGATCGCCCCAGCCCGTAGCCCCTTTGCGCATAAAAAAAACCGCTCCAAGGAGAGAGGTCTTGTCGTCCAAGGCGGGCACGTGTTCCCGAGAAAAATATAGATCATAACTGTATATATAAAAAAAAGCAGGTGTCCGCCCTCGTCGTGATTCCGTATGCCGCCGGCTGGTGCTCGTACGAAGTTCAATTTTGCCGCCCAAAGCCTCTTCATCCATCGTAACCTGTCTCTATCCGTTCAAGCCAACAACGCAGATATCATTCGAGGAACCGAAATCAACCATAAACATAAAAGAAGAAAGGGGAAGAAGGAAGAACGGGGAAAACAAAAAGAAATTGATCTCTCATGACATCTCCTTTTACCCTTCATCATGGCCTGCAAAAGACCAATGGAGAACGTATCGTACAGACTCAAACATTCGTTCAGTCGTGCCAATTCATCTTCTGGCCTCTGAATACAAAAAAAAAAAAAAAAAAAAAACTGGGAGCGCAGAAGAAATCACCATCGTGGCACGCTAGCCCTCCCGTTCGGCGCAGCGGCGTCTGGATGAGAATTGGCATTGGCTCGAGCTTCCCTTCGCAGTGCAACTACACCTCTCGTCTTTGGTGATAAGGGCGCGGGCCACCACCCGTTGCGGCAAATCACGGAAAATGCACCGACGGCATTGCTGCTTCGTACTCGGCCAGAGGGCTATGAGGTGAGCTGGCTTGTCCTGACCCCCCTGACCCAAGGTGAGCCCTAGTAGGGGAGAGAAGAAATCCGGCTTCCTGGGGCTATTTGAGGCGGGGCCGGAATATCAAAGTCGCGGAGGGAAGCATCAATATGGTGCAAGCCCATGATTTAACTGACGCCAGTCGGTCCCTTGTGGTTCGGGCATACTATGACTTCGGAGTGCAGCCGCTTTTCATCACCCTTCAGAGTAATAGATCCCAGCAGTGGAGGGAGGATAGTCGCCCGCATCGGGGTGGTGTTCGGAACGCACGGGGGTTCCCGCCGAGCCATCATCGGCTCCGTAGCCCCATTGAGCATAGTCGTCGCCTGACCTAGCGTAACCGAGCGCTTGCTGTGGCTGTGGTTGTGGTTGTGGCTGTGGCCAGGCGCCGAATTGACCAGTGTGTGGAATTGCGCCAGCCGACAGGGACGCTCCATGGTCTATGTGGCTCGTCGCGGTGGAGGCTGGCAAAGAGGTGGAAATATGCGTAGCATACGCGCCAGGGGCCATGGTGGCTGGCATCTGATGTGCGTGTTGGGACACCATACCGTACTGTTGCGGGCCGTGGCCGTCATTGCCGAAGGTCATGGATCGCGGAGGAGCAGGAGCGGGCGCATACGAAGACCAGGTCGTCATATCTTCGCGCGGTGCATTCCCGGGGCCGGCATGATGGAGAGCCCCGTTCCAGCCTGCGGACGCTTGCGGCGTCTGTGCCGTGTACGGCGAGATCCATGAGGCGCCCATGTCCAAAGCTTTCGGAGCTGAGTTTGGACTAGCATCCTGGGATACCCAACCTGCCATGGATTGCGCAGCGAAGTCGAACGCTCCAGAAGCAGAGGAAACGTTTGAGGGCACTGCAGGGCCAAATAATGCTCTGTCAGCTTCACAAAAGACACCCCAGGCACGGCCTTTGGATCCGGGGATGATGGGGAGTGTAGACGTACCGATAGCATCCCTGGGCGACTCGACTCCTGCCCCGGGCGGCTTGACCACCAGGGTATTGTGAGTAGCCAATTGGGGGTTCGAAGTCGCCGCGGGCCCTGGATACGGCTGAGTAGGAAGGGCAGGAGATGACGAAGACGAAGTGACCTTGGAGCCGGCGGTGGAAGCCCGTGACGGGGCTTTGGGACGTGCATCCGAAGGCGGTGGTTGGTCGACAGGGTAGAAGCTACACTCCTTCTTTAGGCGGATGCAGTTAACGCATCGGCCCTGCGCATCCGAGTTGGAGGGGATGCACCGGATCTTGCGTCGCCGGCAATGTCCTAGGAAGACATGGAATTTAGTCTGCGTCTCCCCCCCCCGTAACGTGTCCATGTCTGCAACTTTACACTTACCACAAGCAACTGATGTACGGTGATAGCCTAGTTTATTCTTCTTCTTATCCCCTGGTAAGCCAATTTGATGATGATCCGAGGCATTACTGGGGTGGGGTCTGACGTTTGGTGAGGACACAGAGCGCTTGAGCTCCTTGCTCGCCTGTGACGAGGAATCTCTTCGATCTTTCAGCGAAGATGTCTCGTGGGAGGGCGGCGTATCCACGGACGCCGAAGCCGCGTGGCCTTGAACCGGGACTCCGTAGTTAGGTAGGTATCCAGTCGGGGGCATTCCCATGCCTGTCCCATCGCTCAATGGCAGTGATGTATGTGAGTGGTAAGGGTAGGCCATCGTAGCGGCTGTCATCTGCTGAATATCGTCGGGGCGGTACCCAGACGTCAAGTATTCTGAAGGAGGTGATCGAAAAACGACTGCCATCCAAAACTCTCAGCTCCGAGTGTGTCCACGACGATGTGTGAGATGCTGTCTTGACCCCTGCCTCGGTGATCTAGCTGGATAAGGTTCCTTGAATAGGGGGCCAAAGTGAATGCCTGGGATATTATTAGAGCGTGCTTCGGCCATGACCAAAGTGTAAAGTAGGTAGGTGTAAGCAGTTTTAGAGGGGGTGGGATCAGGGCACATGGAGGGTCGGCAGGTCCGAGTCCTATACGCGTGGAATCTCAACTAGACAATGCGCTAGGATCCGTCTGACCCCCTCGGGGTAGCTATGGCAGCAACGTGCATGAATAACGGGAATAAAGTTCAAAAGCCAAACCGGTCAGACGGAGGGGGATGTATGAAAAAGGAATTTCCTCCTACCGTAAACTCTGCAAGATGTGGCCGCAACTCTGTCGGAGGATCTTGATCTGACAGAACTGACAGTAAGTTTCTGTCCTGTTTTGTCTTTTCACCTGTCCTAGACGGCTTTGGTTTCGTAAATCAGGGACTGAAGTCGATTGTTCAAATTCGATAGGAGGATATTGCAACAACAGGTGGCTTTGTTGTGCTCTTTGGGGTCCATGCATTCAGATTGTCCAATCTGAAATCTTAAAATCTTCAGCAAAGCGTAGCGGGAAGCCAAGTTGGTCGTCAGCCGTCACTCCTCGGGCAATGTCGATTCGCCCGCTGTCCAATGTCCGCTGCCTCGAGTTCCCGAAACCGTGGAGTAATGACGAAAAGTTGTGAGTGAAGAGATCTCGGCCTATGTATTCGCGTTGGTCGAGTCGGAACCAGCCCCTTCCTGATCGCTTCCAAGTACCGGGCAAAGATGGCACCTCAACGTGGTCAAACAAGCCTAGCGGCCGGAGCTAAAAGGAAGATGAGCTCCAGGGAGTGCCGAGTCAAGTGTGTCTTCGGGCCGAGATCCCTCGTCAACGGTGAGGAAGTTTTTTTGCGCCCCGGTGGGTAGGGATGAGGAGATGCTGGCGGTGCTGGCGGTGCTCGATGTCGAATAGTAGCGGTGCTTCCGGAGTAAACCCCGTATCCGTATATGCGTGGTGGAGTTGATGCAGACCACACACAGATGGCGATGTTTCGCCCAACGCTTGCTTTTCCTCCGTTGCTTCTTCTTCTTCCAGTCCCTTTCCTTCCACTTCCTGGTTCTATGTCCCCAACAAACTGATGCGTCTGTTGGAGGTCAAGACTACAATCCAGTTTTTATTTCCGCCCAAGACACCAGTCACTGAATATCGTGCCCACCTGACGCCGTCTTCCTATGTAGCTGAGGTCTCGTATGGCCTGCTGGCAGGGTAAGCCTCTCAGCCTGCTGGAGTCCCCGGCGAATTACTCACTGAGGAATGTTCAACTACCCAGAAAAGGCGTTCTGTTGACCGTGGTCCGTGGGTCTGGGCTCTGCAGCGTCTAGATGGTTGGCTCGTCCTGTTGATGTCTCACTAGGAAGGACTCGCGGTGAATCAAGGAATATCCACCTGACAATTTCCGCGCTTTTTGGTGTGTGATGCCGCCCCTCTGTAACCGGTCTGTTGGATTGTTCGCTGAGGAAGTTCCTTTTTGCACGCGTCTGGATAAATGGAGTACGCCCTCGAAGGAGATTCCGGAGCCTGAGCTGGCTTGTGTAAACCAAGAGCAGGCGTCAAATAACTGGTATGGAAAGTCTGAAACCAAAGAGGATGGATATTTTAATGGGAGGGCTGCCTTGACGCAGAATTGGAAAAAGAAATTGGGTATTGCCGCTGGTGAATGTGTCGTAGACTAACGCCTCTGCGCGGCGGCTGACGTTGAGAGCTCTGCGAAGAGTGCTTCCTTTTTCAGACCGGCCTTCAGTGTTGGTAAATTAGCTGGGCCTGATCAGTTGTCCCTGCTGTATCAAGAACACGCCAGGGAGGGAGGGTGACAGGCGGGATGGAGGGCGAGTGAGTATTTAGGCAGGCGGAGGATCTCCAAGAAGACAGATGCCAAGGGAGAGGCAGCACGAGCAGGGGAGGCAGTATTAACAAGCAAAGGAATTCCGGCACTCCAAGAGATTTTGACAGTACTCAATATGTATTCCACAACGAGAACATGCAAAAATTGTGCATCGTGGGCTATGGTTGGGGGACAGGGGCGAGGCAGGGGTGTTGGAAAAGCAAGGGTGGTCTGGGCGGCTCTCAGGCTTCGTTCTACAGTACCTTCTGCTTCTGCGAGACGGAAACAGCTACAGATACATACATATAGTATAGGTAGGGAATTACCTACCTACCTAGTGAAGAAAGGAACAAACCGTACGGAGTACGTTGTACTTCGTACGTCGAGGGTCGTTGCATGGATCTGCTTCTTCTGCTCGAGATGGCGGACGGATAGAACTACTTCGACCTTGCAGATCCTTGCTAGTCGCATCGTGGCCCATCTGCCCGCAAGCAGATTATCCGAACTGGTCCCTCCCGGGCAGGGGGTCGGTAGAGGCAGGGGGGGGGAGGCGGGGTCCAGAGCCGTTGGAGGCATCCCACCACAAAATGACATGCTTCTTTCTTCTGGGCCTTCTTCATACATGTTGAATGTCGCCAGAAGGATGTACGCTATAGGGAAACTGTCGCACCTCGATGATATATGCTCATGGGCGCTTAGTACGTCGCCGCCTTCATCGACTGGGTGGGGTTCCTACCACGCAAGATCTCTCGGTGGCCAGATCTGTGACGCATGCTCCGATGACAGACGATGAGTGACCGGTGAGTAGTAAAGTGAAAAAGGTGAATGGGCCCAGATCAGATCAGCGCAAGACTGTCAGCTTTGGCCATGGTCCATGGAACCTGGAACCCCTCTCAAGCCATCGCCACGCTCGAGGAGTTAGGTAAGCCAGTGTGACTGGACTGACTGGCCTCTTTGTCCAGCCCCCGGTCCCCCATTTTCGGCCATTTCACCACGGTCACCGGCACCCCGGGCAGGAACACGCGGTGGCTGCTCTGAAATCGGCATGCGTTCGCATTTGCCCCCTTTGCCCCCTTTGGCCATTTGGCCACCCTCCTCCCTCCGTCCTTTTAACCCCTTGATTAGGATTTTGACCAAGTCATGGAGGGGGCGGACAACGTGGGAGACCGTTTTGGGTGGGGTGGCGGTTTCCCGGAGATGGACGAGAGATAAAATGACGAACGTAAGGCTAAGATACACCAAGCACATGGCATGACATGCGTACATGTGTGGGTTGCTTAGATCTGACACTTGGGTTCGGGTTGACTTTGCGCACGCATCTTCTCCGTTGCGTTGGAATCAGGGAAGAGGGGCGATGCAACGAGGGGACCCGCGAGATTTGCAGAGCGACCAAATCTGTCCAGATCTGTCCTAACCTTTGACCGTCATATTGCACTTTGCCCTTCTCGTCCGTTGCGGGGGAGGGAGGGAGAGCGTTAGGCAGCCTAAAGAAAAGGTCTGTTCTCCATTGCAAATCGGCTTCTGCTCCCGGTCCACTTTGGATGGTAGGCAGGGATAAACTGCCATGGGTCGTCTGGTGCCTTGAAGATCGCGGCAGCGCGAATCTGTATCCGCACTTGTCAGAGACGCCTGTCAAGGATCAGCCGAGCCGGAGTACGCCGGCGTTCCTTAGCTCAGGCCTATAGGCAAGGGCATCCCTGTGAGAACTCACATCCACAACACGTCTGCTCGTCTGCACTGAACTTGAACGGGCACCTTGTTCCTTTTCTTTTCTTTTCTTTCCTTTTCCTTCGTCCATCAAATTTCCCCTCGAAAATTTTGTGTTGTTTTTGCGAAGTATGTAAGATGGTGTGTGTGTGGGTGTGTTGACCGAATGCAGAACTTGCAGAAGCCCCGCCCACCGTTGAAGTAGTCCGTCGCTGCGTTTGAGGAGCCCCGATAAGAGAATGGTTTCCATCGTTAAGTCAATACATATGTGAAGTACGTTGTACGTTGTACATAAAGGCGGGAAATGAGCTAAACGAATGTATCCCCGTAGCCATATTTAGCACCTGGGCGGGGTGACAAGCGAAAAGTGCTCCTCCATACTTGGTCAGGCCAGAGATCTCCGTGTGGATGGTACTGGACCCTCGGAATCAGTTCCAGATATTATCAACTTTGGTTGGGCTCGTGGGCCGAAACTGGGTCAGATTCTTTGCTCTGCATACGTTGTACGGAGTACAGAGTATACCACGACACACCCTACGGCCATGTGGTCGGAGCCTCTCCATGTGGCCATGCGAGGCCATCCCATCCCTCCATGCCTTGACGGGTTGTTACCCGACCTAATAGGGCAGGTGGCTGCTCTCAGTGCGCTGGCTCGTTTCCCTTGGTCGTTGCATCGTGTCTCAAGGTGCTACTCCATTTCCCACCCCCTGGGAACCTTGCTTTGATATGCAGGACGCAGGACGCAGGACGCAGGACGCAGTGTCGCGATGAGAAGGATCTAATTATGGCGCGATACGAGACGAGAATTTCTCGTTCTTTATGAGCTGTTGGTATATACCCTTGATCTGATGCCATCAGACGTCTTCATGGATATTGGGAAGTCCATATTGTCTTGTCCTCGCTTCAGAATCATCTGGGTTTGTCGGTCGAGCAGAAAATGGACCGGGCGAGTGCTCCGTACATACAACGTACTTGTGTACAACGTAATTACTTCGTACGCCATAATAAAGTGGTCTCCAGGCGGTACATACCTTACCTTAGGTAGGGTACTCTCGTGGTTTCAATTTCTCGCCGCTGCCAAGAAGTGCAAAGTAACCTCATTTCCGGCAAAAGCTGAATTAATTCCGCCGAGCGTGTCACGCCCCGTGCCCTAACCAAGCATTCTCAGGTCCCCGGTTGATAAGTGAAGAAGCCCACGTAGCAGGCCAAACCCTACCCTGCAGACCGTACAGACCGTGCAGCGTGGGAAAGTCGGAAGTCGGCATTGCATCAACGCAGCAATACCGGTGGGAGGAGGGCAGTCGATTCGACTCCCTCCGTCGTTTGCTCGCAAGGTGGGCCGCGCCGCATGATTCCTACCACCCCTGACCCCCTTTACAGACACCCTCCTTACAACGTACAGCGTACTAACATTGCGCCGGTTATCAATCGGGGTTGATGTGCAGCTAGGATCCGCCGGCTGACCGAGGGAGTTCCCTAGCCCCCGTGCCATGATTATTATGTACCGAGCTGATATCTATCCTCGCCGACGTGACGTTTCGTCGGCTCATGTAATGTAAAGAGTGCGCATGACGTCTGGGGTTTGACGAAGTATGCGATAAACAGCTTGACTGTTCTCACCAGTATCGATGACCGCGTATCAGACGAGTCAGATGGGGAAAAGCCAGGTACGAATGGATACTAACGTGATCTTCCAGAACAGAAAGAAACCGAGGTTCATATTAGACCTAGGCATCCCGAGAAAGCGAGAATGCGCTAAACCTTAGAGATCATTTTTATTCCAGTAGTCCGAGGAAGACAGGACACGTGCGGCAAGAAAGGGGGAGGCAAATCTCAAACTCAAAGCTCCCAGGCCCTGCTCCTCCCATAACTGCCCGGCAAGCTTGGGAAGGTACCGCGTACGAAGTACGCTGTATGTAAAGTATCTAGGTACCTGAATTAACATGGGACCCTCCGAGTAAAACTTAACACTGGACTGTTATGATCGAATTGCCCCACACGTCACAAAACTACCTGGCTCGTGCATATATCTACCAGGTAGGTAAGGTATGTACGTATTATCTATGTACATAACTGTCTTGACAATGAAAGCCGGGATATCTGTCCGTCAGGTCAGTGGGAAGACAACAAGCAGCGAAAGAGAAGTGCGTGCTCTCGGAAGCCTACTCGTATCCGGTGCCTCGTAGAGAAATGTGACAAGGGCCCCAGCGTTCACTGAACGTCCTCTAGAGCCCAGCCAACCAAACGCTCCGTGGGGAGCTGAGGATCAAAAGGAGTGGGGTGAACCATTAGCATTGGCATGCATCAAGGTCGCCGAGCTCGTTCCAGTTTACTCCACAAGTTGGTCCTGTTCAGCGGGAAGACCCGAAAGCACGACAGTGCACTTGTCCCCTGGCATATCTTTTTCCCCATATGAGGGATTCGGGAGTTCGGGGAGAGAACTATTCGTATCTCGTCAAACCCTCTTTTTGACCACTAAGAATATCTCTTTTACGAAGACTCGAAGCTGTTCGATAACGCTCTCTTTGCTCCGGGTTCCAGCGAGTTTCTCTGGTGGCCCCGCCAAAACTGCCATCTGAGATGAGGAACGGATTAGGTTGGGAATCGCTGGCGCTTGGACCGGTATCGGACCTCTCGTGTTGGCTGCGGAGGAAATCAGCCACAAAGCTGGAGCCCCCGGTAGCCAAAAGCGGGTGGCCTGCGCTATCCATCCCCTATGATATATCCCAAGTCGAAAACGGACTAGTCTGAAATAAACTATGGAGGCAGTTGCGGCGACTTTGATTGAATTTACAGCACACATACGGGGGATGATCGCCTCCCCGCAAGAACCGAGATTCAGAGTTCGTAGGGACAAGGCGGGCCGGTTCGGTATCTTGTACACGTAGTAATAAGGGAACCCCCGCCCTCTGGCGAGGTTCGCGGGGCGCTTTGTTTGGCCAGAGAGGTCCCTCGACCTAGCTTGTAGGTAATGGGAAATGGTCAATAGTGTTCGAAAGCCAGGGTGTATGTAACTTATGAATTCGGCAATTCGGCCAACGGCCCGAGGTCGAGTCGTTCGTCTACCATTACCTTGTACGTGGCTAGAAGAACTGCAGTTCCGAAAACCCCAAGAATCGCACGGCGTGAGTTGACACATCCCAGGGATTCCGTCGGGTAAAGCCTACAACGTAAAGCAGCTGAACTACACTGCGCCGTACATAAATGTCGATATCTCGAGACATGGATTATGGACATTGCAGCTTTTAGATCAGAGCCTAGGAGGGAAAGCGAGATGCATGGCGAGAACACATGATTGGTTAGGAGAGGGAACTCGTGGCTGAAGGATGCAGGAGATGAAAATGAAAGGGGGGAAAACGTATGAAGAGGGGCGATAGAAACCTGGCACACCGGTGCCTCGCTGTGCGAAATTCGATGCAAAAATGCGAAATGGCCGTATTTTCGCTGATCGACAGACTCCCAAGACCCCGGAAACAGGGATACCAAACGCAACCACGTTTCTTCGTTTCAAAACACCAGGTCGAAACACCAGGGGAAGGGACGCGAACAGCTTAAGGAGTATGTACAACGTAATCAATGTGCGACGAGAAATTCCGTAGTCGTGACGGCAATCTGTGCCTATCTAATCGGCCCAAATTCGATGGGATGGAGGGTGGCTGATGCGTGGTGATGCGGACAACTAAGGCAGGTGAGAAGGATCTACGGACACCACATAATCAATCCAGAGGCTGCGGAATAGGCTTCTAGAAACCGTTCATGGAAGGAGCGGGTCGATAACGCCACTGAGGTCCTCGACATCACCAAATAGACGCTATTTTTTTCTTCTTTTTTCTTTTCTTTTTCGAGCAGGAGAGTAGTAATTAATTAATCACTAGCTACGTCGTCGGTCGCCCTTGTCCTTGTTGTCGTGGGTGATATAGACGGCGTATGATACTATTGCAGCTACAAAAGTACGGTCCTCCAATGGTTCCGACACTCTTCCGCAGGCATCGGCGATTGCAAGACGCGAGATGGCGCGAGCCGAAGCGTGGGATCACGGCACATCTAGCACGTGGAAATGCCGTGGGCAGGGTAGCGACTGTACAACGTACAACCACTTCGTACTGGCAGGTTCGTACGAAGTGATTAGGTACCTACGGATACTTTCGTACTAAGGCAAGGTAAGGTAAAGGTATGCAGGAGGGACGACTCGAGTGTACGAAGTAGTAATAACATGACAGGACCACACCGACCAGAGACAATTAATACCACGACACACAACATGATAGAGAAACCAGCCTGGTTACTGGTTGCGATGGTAATTAACCACCCAGAAGATCAACTTGGAAGAACGGAAGCCAGCTTTGGTTCAGGTAATTTCGGTCGAGGTTGTGCAGTGCCAAAGAAAGGAACAAAGAAAAAGTCAAGGCGGTGAACGCTAATTTTAGGTACCTTAGGTCAGAACATCTTCTCGAAGTTCGATTTGCTGGGTAATAAATAAGGTACGGAGTACACGTGTACTTATTACCTAGATAGGTACGAAGCAGGAGCCCCATATCGCTAAACCAATCAGCAGAGACGCCACAAAATTATTCCATCTGATTCAAAAATACCAATCCAAAAGTATGTATCCGATAGACCCATTTATTTAAGGTACGTACTCCGTACCTGAAATTTCCAATATCTCCACATTTCTTCATCGTCGCGTGACAAAGCAAGCCTCAAAGAATTGGACAGCGTAATTTCTCTCCACGCCGACTCCTTTTCAGGGCTCGGCCCACCATGTTTCTTCCTCTTATTTGCCACGGTCTTCGTTCCGCAAGTCATCGGTGAAGAAGGCTATAACCCCCACGTCGTCAACGTCGTCAACGTCGTCGTTCTAGCGTGCTTGCCATGCAGATCGTCGAACGCCACAAGCATTCAGATTGGCCATTCCTTCATCCATACCAGGAGGTAATTAGAACATCGCGCACCTTTCTTCTTTTGTCAAAAACTGCAAGGTCTTCTCGGCTGTTGAAATGTCCTTATCTAGCAGAAACAGCGAGCCCCGCTAGTCCCCATGCAAATGCAGATGCAAATGGCTGAATGACCGCCGCCGGCCATACACCGTACGCACTTACGAATAGTCGATCGACAACGGTATCACGTCCACCACTTGCAACTTGCAGTGGCCAAGTGCATCAGGAACAGGGTCATTCCACGAACACATTGGCTCATCGAAGCTTTGACACCCCTTCCTCCCAGCCACCTACCTACGAAGTTCTCACCAAAACTAGAACCTCCTTCATGCACCTCGACTCAACATTAAGAGTCCTTGTAATTAATGATGATTACAGCCCGGCACATGGACGGACTCCTTGTGGTCCGGACGCAGGGCAACGGTCTCCCGCGCCTTTCCTCCGTTCCTCCTTTAACTTTGCATGTTCCTTTTTGTTTCTCTCTTCTACCCCCCAGAAACCCCGCTGCTATTTCACCGGAATGCAGGGCTACACGGTACATTACATGTTCTGTACGAAGTGCAGTAGTTACCACGCGAAGCAGTCACGTTATGGGCCTCAAATCCTTCCATTCCATCAATCTCGACGTCACTTCCTTTACATGCCCACCGCCAGCTCTGTTAGCGTGGCCGACTGTCTTATTAATCGAAGGGGCCGGCCCCACGAAGGATGAGGGTGCCTGCGCAGCGGTATCGACACGTGTATGATGAGGTCGGCCGTAGTGGGCGTGGACGGCACAGGCGGCGAGGGCACCGATTGGGTGTGCGTGCAACAAACGTCTGACGAGTAACCTGACGTTCCTACCTACGTCCGCTGCTTTGAATCCCGAAGTTACTCCTGTGCCCTTTGCCTTTGTTCGCCCTTTTATCGAAATCCAGAGAGAAATCATCGAGAAGGCTTCTTATACTTCTGCCACGAGATTGTATTACGCCGCGCGACATATGATCGCTTCCCCTTTATTCACCATGCGAAGAGACAGTCGCTGGGCAGTCCGAATCTTTCTTTTCCTTTGTGCTGATGCTTAGAAGGTCGAGGCTGATCATCCGTCACCTAGGTGCAACGTCCACTGCTCCGAATTGACTAAAAGAATGAGTGGATGGTTCCATGGATTGAATCGAGTGCGTTGGCCCCGGTTATATCGCCGGAGTTTTGATGGCCATTTATCCTCCATGCCTCTCTCGTTCCCTCTGTCCTCTCCAGTCCCAATGTTTCTGGGTCCGGCCACTCCGTCCAATGGACGTCAGCTTTCAGCCCATTATTACGGAATGAAGAACGAGACCCCCTGCTTGGGATTATGTTCCTGGGTCCTTGCTTTCAAATCTACGAAGCATTTCAAGCCGTAGCAAATTGTTTTTTTTTTTTTAAAAAAAAAAAAAAAAAGGCTTAGTACCTGTGGACGACTGAACGAGGTCTGCAACTCGTCAAATGTCAAACGGAAGGGCGTGCTAGAGGACACTGTCGGCAGGTTCCGCGGGGTTCCTTTTCCATACTTAAGCGGGCAGTTAAGACTGCGGGGGCCACTGCCCATCGTGAAGGAAGTGTGTGACTCAGGGAAGAATCGCAAATGCTCCCAGCACAACATAGAAAGAAGACTGAGTTCTCTTTCGTGTGAATAGTGGAAGGTAAAAGCAGCGCTCTATGTATTTATTCCATTTGCTCATGAAGTACCCACCAGGTCTGATTTCAACGGTGGAGATGATAGACGACGACCCCAGCACAATGCCAACTAAGACACCCCCAGCGACATGTTGCCCCGCAGCTCCAACTGCGAGTGCGCCAGTGACTGCGACTTGGACTGCGACTTGGACTGCGACTCCGGCCCAGACTCCCACTGCCCAGGCGCCAGTAGCAACCCTTCGCATTGAAGCAGGTTACCGCCCGGGCTTCATCGCCCGCACGCTCCAGATGCACATGGACTACTACCACTCGGCCGTGTCCTGGGGACAGGCATTCGAAGCAGCAAAGGCCCAGTGCTGGGGCAAGATCGTGGAACAGCTCCCGTCGTATCCGGACAGTCAGATCTGGTCCGCCGTCCGGGTGACCGGTGATTCGGAACGGATTGTGGGGACCATCATGTTGGACAGTGCCACGGATGCGGAGGCGGAGGCGGAGGCGGGGGAGGGGCGGCAGAAGGTCCGGACGGTGCAACTGCGGGGTTTCATTGTCGACTCGGACGCCAGGGGACTGGGTGCCGGGAAAAAGCTCCTCGCGGCCGCCATGGCGCATGTGGAAGAACGGGGCATCGAGAAGGTAATCCTGCACACGATGGATTCGCTGGGGGCCGCTGTTTACCTGTACCGAGCGGCCGGGTTCGTGCTGCACAGCGAAGAGGAAAGGGTTCTTTGGGGGGCAAAGATCAAGGAACAGCTTTACATTTGGCGGAGAAAGGCGCTCCCTGCAAAGTAGGGGGCAGCACGAGGAGAGGCATGGGAAGGGAGGGTATGCTAGGATTCTCTCCAACTTGATAAAAGTTGAAAGCTCTTACGCCTGTCGAGAGAGGAACAGCACACAAGCTGCTTCGGATGAGAGCCTGACATGATGGAGCTTCCCTCGGGCGACATGTCATTTTATCTCCTTCAGTCCCCTTGAGATCCCAATCATTCATCTGGCCCAGGGGCCGAATCGATTTCATTCCATCCCCATCTTCCACCATCCAAAGACTGTTCTTCCGGGTCAAGTCGTGGTGCGGGACGCAGACCAATACCAAATTGCCTTGACGGCCTCCCAACCTCCCCACCCAATGACGACAGCCACAGCAAGCATGACGAGAGCAACGTAGCTCCTGATTCCCAGGGCATCCGCCATCTCCAGTTTGGCCAGTTTCGCTTGATAGCTGTGATAGTACCCTGCACTTCCCCTTGCCGTGCCCGAGGGTCGCCGGAGGGTGTAGCGGAAGTCAATCCACGCGAGGGACACGAGGAAGGATATGAAGATGATGGGAGTTATGATGAACTGGATTGTAAAGCCGTCAGCTTCCCTTGCTGGGTATGAAAAGGGGGCCGAGGGTGTAAGCATTCAGAGACTCAAGAAGAGCCGTAGCTCTTCGGTCGTTACGTTTTTCTTTTTTGTCCCCCCCGCCCCCCCTCTTTTTTTTTTGTTCCTTTTCCATTTATCACTTCTTGTTTCCTTACCTTGTACATAGACCGCTTGTCGATTGCGGCTTCATCGTCGACGCTGCCTCTTCTGGTGGTAATTTTGGTCGCGGGAACCGATGACGACATGATGCGCTTTTCATTTGTTCGTACCCTAAGGTACCTTAGGGATGTAGATGAGTACCGAGTAGGTAGCTCAGAGGCGTTGACCACGAAACTGAATATGGGTAGAATGTAGTTATCGTGGATATATCTTGGGCATCAACCACGAGATAAGAATGACCGCCGTTGAATACGAATAATACGAGGGGACCAGGAGGATTCCAACGGCTGAATCCTTGATTGGTGGAGTTTGTGCCTGATTTCGAATGAAGGAAGACCCTGTTGCGTGGCCCCTTCCCACCTTTCTCGCGTCTGACGTCTGACGTTTGACTTCGTCACTCCATCCGGGAGCTATGGGGAGCATGTCGGGTTGTCCACTATTGGTCGCTCAGTGCGTATTTCAACCTCCAACTTCCAATCCTCGAATGCTACGCTACGCTGACCGGTCCAATTACCTAGCATGACCACCACTCCTAAACATGGGAGGCTGACAATAATTCCCGAGATCGACAAGGCAAGGCCAGAAACAAAAACTGCCTCGCGAGCAGGGGTCTCGAGCTGCACGAGATAAAGAAACGACGCCTGTATGGCACGGATATTCTCTGGCACTCACTCCGCCAGTTCAGCTCACACGTCCCTTCGGCATCTTCGTACGTATATTGATAGGCGCCTTAGAGCTGCAGGTTTCGAATAGCACCTGGTGGAGAGTCGCAAACTACCAACTATAGAGGCTTTTCCCTTTTCCCTTTTTACTTTTTTTCTTTTCTTCTTCTTTCGACTCATCATCATTCCATCGCCTGCATTCCTAATGTCGTGCTCTATTCCCACCCTGCCTCCATGATTCCCGGCGCGTTCACGATCCTCCACCTTTTATCGAGTATTGTGGATGTCGAGTACCAGGATGTCTTGCGCCCCGACCGCCGTCAGCTTGTCCATCACCACGGCGAGCTCCTTCTTCACCACCATGGAGCTCACGGCTACCCAGCCCTCCTCGTCCAGTGAGGTGATGGTAGGCGCGCGCTTTCCCGGCGTGATGGCCTTAGCGTCCGCCAGGCGCGACCTCTCAATGTTGTACTGACACAGCACGTACTTCTGCGCCGTGATGACACCCTGGATCCGCGCCGTGATGAGATTGATCATCTCCGGGTTGGACGGCGAACGTGACTTGATGAGCACTGCCTGCGACTCTACCACCGTGTCGATAGCCTTGAGTCCGGCCGCTCTCATCGTCTCTCCCGATTCTGTCGTAGCCGGGTTTTTTTTTCGGTTAGCTGTCCATAGAGGAAGGAGATGGTAGAGGGAGAGAGGGGAATTTCAAGTATGACGTACCGACTAGATCGACGATACCGTCGGCCACGCCCAAGGCACAGGCCGCCTCAACACTGCCGCTCAGCTCGATGACCTTGGTTCGCAGCTTCTTAGCAATGACAGGCGCGCCCCCGTTGGACGAGTTCTCAATCCCCATCTCCAGTTTGGCGAAGTGTTCGGCGGCCAAGTCGACGAAGCTCGTACCGATGGTCTTGCCGACCAAGTCCTGTGTGGTAGCATACGCTCCCTTCTCGGGGACCTGGACCTGGAGCTTGCAGGCACCGAAGCCCAGGTCCATGACACGGTCACAGCCGCCCACCTTAAGGTCCTCTGCCTCGTCCGGGTTGTTTACGAGGGAGACTCGACGAGTGCGGTCGTAGGAGCGGACGCGCGCATCGTATTCCTTGACCTGATCCCAGCCGGTAATGCCCAGGTCCACCCTGCCTTCGCCGACGAAGGTGGGGATGTCGGCGGCGGGGAGGAAGATGAGGGCGATGGGTAGGTTCTTGACGAGCGCGATGTCAAGGCGATTCTCGCGACGGAATTGGACATCGGCGCCCTCGAGCAGGTTCAGGGTTGCGGAGTTGAGTCGGCCCTCTGGGAGAATGCGCCGTTTACGTCAGTTTTGATTTCTTTTCACCCCTCTTCCCTCCCTCCCTCCCTCCCTCCCTCCCTCCATTCTTTCTTTTTTCTTTCCACCGGCGGGCGTGTGATACTCCTATTAGGCGCAACGAAGACCAGAATAGACATTTCTTTCACTCACTCTTGGGCACCGCGAATAGGAGACGCCCCTCTAGGCTTTCCCGATGTATCAGCTCATCTGCCTGTTTCGTCATGGTAACGCATTCCATTCAGGAAGCACTGTAGGAGGGGGGAGAGGGGAGTGGGTGTGACAAACGAGTTGACGAGATCCATGTCGGGTGGACGACGAAGGAGGGATGAGGGGTAAATCAGTCGGACAACGGCCGAATCCCAACAGTTCCACAGGTAGAAGTAAGGCGAGGCGGTATGTTCGACGGTCGAGTAGTATCCGTATACCCTAGCTACCTTACTTAAGGTATCGTTGGGTTGCAGCGGCACGACAGGTTCTTGGATGCGTCACAGAAAGACCAATTGCAAGTCGAGTCGCGTAAGTAACGTACCGAGTAGACGGGAGGGGAGTGTGAAGAGAGAAAGAAAAGAGAAAGATGGCCGTGGAGGGGGCGTGGCGTTGGATTCGTGAAGTGTTGGGTGTTCCCTCCCAGGTCTTCAGTATCGTGGTGAGTCAGGCAAGGTTCAGGCTCGCTCGAGGTAGGTACGGGGTACAAAGTTCGAGGTCACAAGGCTGCGACTGACCGAGGACGGCGAGGGGAAATTTTGTGTCCAAAGCCCACGTTGGCCTATGTCGGAGTTCTGATTGCTGGAGGGGGGAAGTTTTTCCATTGAAGGTTATCAATCATGGCGGGGCACAAATGGCTCAGAATCTGTACCGACTCTGAATTGGGTTGCCCCGCCATTACCTTAGTGTGGTCGAAGGGCGGCGGAGGAACATCGGATGGAGGGGTTGGTTTATTCGTTGTCTCAAGCGCCGACTCCGGATCTGCGTTGCCTTGTCGTCCGGAGCACGGAGCAGCTTAGTCATCTAGCATCCGTACCTTATCTACCTTATGTAAGGTAAGGTACTGGGTTATTATTAGGTACTTCGTAATTACCTACCTTATTATTCATACACGAAGCTCAGCCCCCTATCAGGACCCAACACGTCGCCTTCGGAATCCCATTCCTTCGCGAATACAGAAAATATCTATTATACTCGCTCACGAGTCCTCCCATCCATTGTGGACCCGGGTTTATGTACGTCAAGTTCAGAGAGAGGTTAGTCAATGGGCAGTAGGAGTCATATTCGAATAATAAGTACGAAGTAGTACATATCCGTACCTTACTCCGAAATTACTGCGAAATGCAGTTTCCCAAACTTCTACCAAGTAATAAGGTACCTTATTAATTAAGTACGAACGACTTTGTCTTCCCCCAATTATTCGGCTTGTACTGATCTTCATAATACCTTAATTCACCTTACCTCGTACTTCGTTATTGACGTCACGCCCAGAAATAAGAAGTTGGCAGATTGTCTAAGCCCATACGTTCGTTGTACAGCTACCGACACCACGACAATTACCCCATCACCCTTATATTTCTTGTATTTGACATCGGGTTTCTAAACATCACAAGCAACACGCTTCGGCCCTGCGCCTATATTCATCCGTACTGTCGCATCATCCTGGGCACTAGCCCGACAATCGTCTGGGGAAACGGAGATGAGCTTCGGTGTCGTCACGTAACATTTATCCAATTCCCAGTCTCAGTTCAGATTCTACTTTGGCGGTCCCTGAATTTCTACCCAATCCTCGTGTCGAAAACGTCCCGCCCTGGCCCCCTTCCTTATTAACCTGACCCCCCTAAAAAGGCCCCCCGCCGACTTGGTTCCCTCGCATTCCCATTCTGGCATCCTCTCGTCTTCGCATCTTCCGGCCAGCATACACACATCCCCGGAATCGATCGGGGGACCTATCATGGGCTGTACCGCTGTGACAGACCCCGTACACTACCTTATAGTCGGAACCGGATCCAGACCCGACCCGCTCTTTACGGTCCAGAACCACTGGTCGGGGTAGCCGGGAGTACAGGTACTATTAATTGACACCATTTTACTACATAAGCTCAGCTGTTGGCCCTGCGCCCTGCGTCCCTGCCTCCTGGGCAACGTTTCCGAGACCTGAATGTATGTCTAATAATTACGTCTTGGCCCTTTACTCCCAAAGCCGCTTCGATTTGTTGTCTGGGCGTGTCAGCGACGTCCAGCAATCGCCCGTCGATTCAATCACTTCCCCGAGGACGAGAACGACCCGGTCGATTCGATTCTGGGAAACGAAGCACGCGACTCGAACGCGCGGTCGCGTGGCACGGGACGGTCGTTCAGAGGGATTCAATCATCTCAGCGACAAGTAGCATTCTTTTCTCCCATCTCCAGACCCGATAGTCACGACTGCACTGCAATTGCGACGGCGGCAACGGCGGCGACGACGGAGACGACGTCATCCGGCACGGCTGTATTGGAGAACCCGACTCGACCACAACCACCATGGCTACCTTCACGGGAAGCTCCCATATCAAGGGGAGCACAGAAACCGTTCGGATGGTCCTCTTGACCTTTGCTGCTATTGGTATCTCGTAGGTCACATCACCTCCTGTTATTTCCCTTTCGGTGGAACGCGTTCTTCTGCTTTGCGTTCCCCCAGACTGACGGCAGCTGCCTAGCTTCACATGGGGGATTGAGATGACCTGTAAGTCCACTAGCGCCCCTGATCGCCAAAGACGTCTCGTGTGGAGCACAGAGCAGCGTCTCCAGAGACGTACTGCGGAGTAGGAGTAATGGGTATTCCTGTATGGCCGTCGCTAACGCTTCCTTGTTCCTTTCAACAGACTTCACGCCGTACCTCCTTAACCTCGGCCTCACCAAGAGCAACACAGCTCTCGTATGGATAGCAGGCCCCTTGTCGGGTCTCATTACGCAGCCCGTCATCGGCTCCATCGCCGACCAGTACAAGTCGAAATGGGGCCGCCGGCGGCCCTTCATCTTCATGGGTTCCATCGTCGTCACCATCAGTTTCCTCGTCGTCGGCTTCACCAAGGAGATTACCGATCACTTCGCAACCGATGAGGAGACAAGTCAGACCCTGGCCATTGTACTCGCCGTGCTGGCCATCTACGTTGCCGACTTTGCCATCAACGCTGGTACGTCTCCCATGTCCGCGATGTCCAGAAACCTGGCGCCCCCCTTGTCCTCCCGTAGACGAGGGTCCCGCTGCGGTTACTTATCAGATATCCTTAGTCATGTCCTGCTCGAGAAGCTTGGTGGTCGACACATTACCCATCGAGAAGCAACAAGCTGGCGCCGCATGGTGTAAGTTGAAAGAACATCGGGGAGGTCGTGCGTCCCGTTTTTGGTGCCCTCGGTGCCCTCGGTGCCCTTGGTGCCCCTTGAGCCTTGGCTAACCCGCGCGATACCGTAGCTAGCAGGATGGCTGCTGTTGGGAACATGTTGGCATACGGAGCTGGCGCTGTCAACCTCGTCGGCATCTTTGGCGAGTGGCTTGGCGACACCCAGTTCAAGCAAATCACCCTGATCGCGAGCTTCTTCAACGTCTTCTCCGCTTGCATCACGTGCTGGGCTGTTACCGAGCGTGTATTGGTGTCCACCAAGGGCGACCAAGGTCACCGCGGAGGGCCGTTCAAGTTCATCAGCCAGATCTACTCGACGATTCGAACGCTTCCACCCAGGATACGAGCGATCTGCTGGGCGCAGTTCTGGGCCTGGCTGGGCTGGTTCCCCCTCCTCTTCTACAGCACCACGTGGGTAGGCGAGACATATTTCCGCTACGACGTGCCCGCCGATGCCCTAGATTCGCATGACGTGCTCGGCGACATCGGCCGCATTGGAAGCACCTCCCTGACCATCTTCTCCATCATCACTTTCCTGGCGTCTTGGCTCCTCCCCCTGGTCGTGCAATCACCCGAGGACGGCTCCTTTACCCCGCGTCCCGCTCCACATGTAGCCTCTCTTGTGAAGACCCTCGGCAAGCGCAAGCCCGACCTCCTCACCGCTTGGGTATGCGGCCACCTCCTCTTCGCCGTGGCCATGATGTGCGCACCGTTGGCCAAGAGCCTCCGCTTCGCCACCTTCCTCGTCGCTCTCTGCGGCCTCCCGTGGGCGCTCGCGACCTGGGCCCCCGTCACCTTCCTCGGCGTCGAGGTCAGCCGGCTCAGCGGCGCCAGCTCGGGCGACGGCGCACTTTACCGCCGCGTCTCCTACCCTAGCCGCGGACCGTCTGTCGAGCTGCCCGCGCTTGGCCAGGCACAGGCCCTCGACTTGGAGAACGCACGTGATGACGATGACCATGACCATGACGACAACGACGACGACGACGACGGCACTGACGATGCCCGCGGCCTCGGCTCATCGTCGTCGGGCGAGCTGTCTGGTATCTACTTTGGCATCCTCAACATCTTCTCCACCATCCCGCAGTTTATCGGCACCTTTGTCGGCGCCATCATCTTCTCCATTCTCGAACCGGGCAAGAGCCCGGAGCTCACCGAGGACGGGATTTCGGCCGAGGAGCTCCACAAGGACGGTCCGAACGCCATCGCCGTCTGCCTCTTTTTGGGCGGCCTCTGTGCTATTGGAGCGGCGTACATGACGAGGAGGTTGAAATATATCCCTTGAACTCTACACCCCGGAAGAAGAAACAACGAGATACGCAAAAGCATTCATTTTTTTTTATCTCCCCACCCCCTTCTTACAAAAAGCGGAGCGTGTGTCACAATAGTAATAAAGCAGCAGAGGGCATACTCAACAGGCGTCTTGGCGTACGGCAGAGTGGGAGCGGGTTTCTTGTACGGATTTTTCAACGCGTCAAGAAGGGTCTTGGTGCAGAAACTAGGACTTGGACAGGATCAAGGGCATTTATAAGGAGGGCAATCATAATTGGTTATTGTAGACCCTGTCGAAGGAAGTATGGTCTCTAAAGTGTCCCCGCAATCGCATCGCATCATATGTGTATCCGTACTCCCGTAGTTATGTATCGACTGAAAACCAGAGCTTTTGTGTTTTATTTTATTTTTCTTCTAAATTGAAATTGAGTTGCAGAGGGACGCCGCACAAGGGGTATCACGAATAGATGTGGCTTGATAAATGGTGTTGCATGTAAATAGGCATATGCGTACGTGGTTATCGCGAGGTTCCTCCCGTCTCCTACTCTTTTTTTACCCTCTCCCTTCTCCTTTGCCGGGGGGTTTGCCCAACGACAGGAGGGTAGAGACGCGGGAGCTCATAGGAGTCGGGTAGAGGAAGATGTCCTGGATCCGGATGACCACGCCTCGTAAGATCATTTATCCTTCTCGTTCTCGTTCTCCGATACCTTCTCCCACTCGTCTTCCGTGCTCGCGCTCGACTGGGTACCGGAGGCCGAACCCGCACCGCCCGCTACGGACCCGACGACAGCAGCAGCAGCAGAAGGCGCCGCGCCTTCTTCCCCTTGTTCTTCCGCCTCGGCCTCGGCCTCGCGGCTGGGCGGCTTGCGGTTCTTGACGCCACGCTTGGTCGCCGCGGTCCTGGACGACGCGGCCGTAGCGGCGCCGGTGGCGGTGGTTTCCACCTCGGTGTCGTCGTCGCTCGTCACCGTGGTGGCTGCGGCGGAGTCGTCGCGTTGTTGTTTTTCTTGTTCTTCTTGTTTCTGTTGCTGCTCCTCTTCGATCTCCTGGGCGAGGCGGAGCTCTTCGGCGAACCAGTTGATGGCGCGCCAGAGGCCGGCGCACAGGCAGGAGAGCACGACGAAGTGGACGGAGTAGGTCGCGAAGAGGAGGATCAGGAGGAGGAGCTGGAGGGCGAGGAAGGTGGCGTTCGCGGCGCGGAGGAGGGTCGGGGTCGGGCCGGGCGTGAAGATGGAGTCCCAGAGGGATTCGATGAAGGAGGCCATGATTTCGGGAGGGCGGTCGCTCGCTGGGTCGAGGGACGACGTGTGACGTGTGGCGGGGAGGAAACCAAACCCAATGAGGAGGGGGCCCGTTGTGGTGCGTTGGGGGGAAGGGGGGGGGGGGGGGGGTTATTGGCTGGCTGGCACACGGTTCAGTCGGGTAGTAAATAGAAAAACAATTAAATAAATAAAATAGAGCGCAGGAGACGAATGGTCAAGGGACAAGTGGTGATGCAGGCGCCCCGTGTAGCTGTTTTGTTATGTCCGCCCGGGGAAGAGAATAGAATAGACGAGAAGAACGGAGGGGGAGGTCAGGCTCCTTGGAATGAATGTGTTTCCTGTTCGTTTGTCCCGCGACAACTGGACACGTCGTAAGTTAATCTCTGGAGGGTCAGGGAACCAAGGAGAGGAAGAGTTGCGGGCGGGGCAACGTGGGTGGAAACGCGGGAGGCAGCAGGTAAGGTCGATATTCGCAGGTGCGGTAATAGGAGACGGGAGGCAAAAGGTGGGATTAATACCTTAACCTATTGCAAGGCTGCCCGGAAGATCTGCTATTTGATGCCTAAGACGTCGGTGGATCAAGCGCCGTTCCGGCTTTCGGGAATGCCCAGGTTTTTAGTCCGTCCTTGGTAAATTTTATGGGGTGATTAGTATCCTTATAGTTGTTTGTTGTTGATTTCCACGAGATAAATATATATACGGAGCAATAGTAATGAATAGAGGCAAGGCAAGGTATGGCAAGTTTATTGCTTTTGGATCCAAGATGACTTTCGTAGAGGATGACGGGACTTTCTACGAAGTACCTAAATATACAGGGTCTGCTGGAAACCCCCCAATGAATGGGGAGCAGGTGTACAGTACATAAGATCCGCGCTCCAGACATGCGAAGTACTACACGTGTAGGTACTACGTTTCTCGGTTCTCGGTGAGTAGCTTCCTCGTGCAGTGGGTCGTTCATTGTTCAGTGTCGGTGAGCAATACTCCATCCGTTTGTACCGTTTGTACCGTTTGTACCGTTTGTACTAAAGCGCTTTACCCTGTAAGGTATCCGTACTTCGTATTGTCCTAGTTCTCCTCTGGAAAAGTCAGTCTACGGACGATTATATTGACGGACGACCTCTGACGATCGATGCGGGGTGGGGCGGGAGAATGAATCATCTCCATGTCAACGCGGTCACCATCTTATCCGTACAGTGGTTTTCTATGGCCTCCCTCGTGGAATTGGCGAGGAACTCATTCGGGAAGGGCTTTGTTTATGCAGAGCCCCATCATTATCTCTGCGCCTCCCGAGAACTGCGTTTCCCTGTGGTCAGCGACTCGATCCTCCATTGAAGGAGGAGCCTCTCGATGCGTTCAAAGCCGAACGGTACCACCCCGCGAAAATCGGAGATGTGTACGGCGAACAGCACCAAGTCGTAAGGAAGCTAAGGTAGGTACCTAACTAGGTACCTATGTACGCAAATAAACCATGTACTTGGTAAGGTACTTTTACTTCGTAATCACTCCGTACCTAAGGTACCTTACTACGCAGTCGTGGACCTGTCAAAGTTTCAATTCCTGCTACGGACTGACTGTCCAAATACGCACCAGTACGGAGTATATACAGTGTACCTTATCCGTTAACCTTGTCCTTGAACCAAGGGGAAGCTTCAACTCGAACAACATGTATCTGATTGTCGGGGATTTATTATCGGTACGACCGTGCTAGCTCCATTCCGGTAACGCCCATGTGGATGCATATCCGACGTTTTCCCCCGCCAGGCTTACCTACCTTACTTACCTATTACCTATTTCTTGAGCTGATCGGCCAAACTGCCCGCCATTCGCATCCATTCATTATCTCGTTACCAGTAATAACAACGTACCACCCCCGTTCACCACGAGCCACCGTCACATCCGGGCGTATACGGCCGTCTGAAGAAAGGGACTGGGATCGTTAATAATTCCTAGTATCCCTACGCAGCCCTGTTCGCCCTCATCCCGGGTTGGCCAGTGCCATCGGATAACCAGCCATCCTTCCGCAGACCGACGATAATATCGCCCTTGCCTTGCGGCAACCCGGATTCCCGTCCCACCACCGCGGCTTGGGCTTCCTTGCCCCGTGTTCAAAACAACTTCCCCCGCCTCACCTTAGCCTTCTACCTACATGCACCAACATAACAAGGGCGAGCATGAGCCATCCGTGCCAGTAATGGACAGTTCTCCCCAGCAAACCGAGACGCTGGTCTCGGGCCTCAATGACTTCCCCGAGTCGGGCACAGTTTCCGAACCCGCCGCCAACCTCGACCCTGACCTCGACCTCGACCTCGACTTCGACCTTGCTTCCCACGACTCCGGTGTCGTCGTACTGGAATCGGCCAACTCCAACGCGCATCACCCGCCTTCTCCATCACCAGCCGACACCCTGGACGACCCAGCTGCCGTAATGCGGAAGCTTTTGAAAGGAAAGGAGGAGGAATGGAACGCCGCTTCCAGAAGGACGGGGAAGCTTACCCTGCTCGAGCTTCCCCTTGACGTCCTCCGCCTTATTGTCAACGAGGCAAGTCAGCTCCAACTCCAGCTCCAGCTCCAGCTCCGGTTCGAGCTCCAGTTCTTCACCTCCCCCCCGCTACCTGCTATGCTTTGTTTGAGTATGCCAATCGCCTGCTAACATCTCCCCGCCTCTTCCAGGTCGTCCATACCAATGACCTGACCGGCCTCGCCCTAACCAACTCGACGCTTTACAACCTGGCCGTGCCCCATATCTACTCGAGATTCGACATCGTGTGGCCCGACCTCACTCACCTCTCGCAGTCCGACTCCAAGAGCGTCGACGCCCTCACATTCGGTCTTTCCACCCTCTGCCTCGGCAGCCACTTCGCCCACCACACCCGGAGATTGCTCTCCCCCAACAAGTCCCGTCACCTCGGCCCATCGGTACCCCGCCTGAAGAACGACTACGCGAGCTACATCAAAAAGTTCTCTCTCGGAAATGGGCCTGATGACTGGGTGGCCGAATACATGATCACCAAGGAGAGCGGCAAGATGCTGGGCACCCTCGTCGCCCTCGCCGTGGCCAAGATGACCAGCCTGGAGACGTTCGTGTGGGACATGCCCACTGGTGTGCTTTCCGACATCTTCATGGCCCTGGCCTCCCTCGGGGACCACAGCCCCGATGCCGACTCCAAGCTGGAGCGTGTCTGGGTGCGGTGGCACGACAACTCGGAAGTCTCGTCGTCTTCTGCCGCCGCCAGTCCGGGGCCCGGCGCCGGGGACCAAGACGACGTCGTGCCCGTCGGTAGCACCATGACGCCCATCGGCATCCTCATTCCCTCGACTGCCACCCATCCTCGTCCCCGTGGGCCGATTCCCTACTCCGAAAGCCGGGTGGAGTTCCCGACGTTTGCCGTCCTGCCTCCGCTCAAAAGCCTCTCCGTCCTTGACATCGATGAGCTGTCCTACCTAGACGAAATGGCTGTCGTCATCGAGAGGTCGCAAGGTCGGCTTGAGGAGTTGCGTGTGGGCATTTCCCCCAAGGCCGTCCACAAGGACTTTGTCCAGGCGTGGGACGGACCGGGCCTGCATCAGGTCGACCGCAACGCTCGCTGGCCGGGCGAGGCCGTCATTGGCGACCGTCGGCTGGGCGGCATCTTGGGCGTCTTGGTGGGCAGGATCTACGATATCAGGAGGAAGCAGGCTTCCAAGTCCAAAGGGAAGGAATCTCCTCCGTCCACGACGGCACCGTCGGCTCACGAACCGAGTGGGCAGCATCACCCCACAACGTCTTCCGGTTTGAACGCAGGTTCGGCTTCATCTGCCTCGTCCCTACTGATCCAGGGCTCTGCGGCGGAAGGAGGCTCGTCGTTGAGCAGGCCAGAGCACGGGCCAGCGTCGACGGGCGACGGCGACGGCGCCGGCGACGGCGCCGGGGAGGGTGAATTGGAGGCTGGGAGAAAGCGTCTCGATGGCAAACTGAGACTGAAGACCCTCGAGCTGGAGAGAGTCCCCATCTCGATCCAGGTTGCCTGTAAAGCCATCGACTGGACTCTGTTGTCCAGCTTGACCATCCTGAACTGCAGTCACCACGAGAACCTCTGGAAGGCCCTCCGAAAGCAGTTCCAACCCACCACGTGGACGGCCTACGACCGGTCATGCTCGTCGTCGTCAAGACACCCTTCGTCGTCTACTACGCAGACACATCACCACCCTACGACGCTGATGAAGAAGCAGGTGCAATACAGGTTGAATTTGAAGAAGATACACACCGATATGGCGTCGGTCGCGCTGGTCAACTTCCTGAAGGAGACGTTGGCGCCCAACAGCCTGGAGGTGTTCTTTTTGCAGGACCGTCGGCAGTCCGGACCTCCCCCGGCGACCATCGAGCAAATCTTCAAGGGACCCATCAGGAGGCACCGATCGAGCCTCCGCAAGGTCCTCCTCGATAGCTCGGGCCACAGGATGCCCAGCGGCAACTTTGCAGAGCCGTTCCGCTGGCTTTACTGGATGGCGACATCGGAGATGGTCGCCTACATGACGAGCGGGCGCATGACCAACTTGCGGGAGCTTTCCCTATGCCTGCATTACAGAGATTGGGTAAGTTGAGGACTAGTACCACCACCCACTTGATTAATCCTTCTTCGGCATCATCTCCTGTGCGTCTCTTGTCTCACGAGGGCCACTTTGCTAACTCACCGATTCGCAGCACACCTTTCTCCAGAGGCTCCCCAACGTGCCTCAGCTGCGGTCCATACATCTGCCCAAAATAGCAGACCACGTCTCTGGCAACTTGGAACCCAGAGAGCTCGCATTGCAGATCGTCGACATTGTCACACTTTGTCCGGACATCCAGCTCGGCTACGTGGGCATCGAGCAGAAATGCTTCGAAATTCTGGAAAGCAAGCCGTCGGACACGGCGGCGCCCGGTTTGGCGGGTGCGGAATCCGGTGCAGCGGAGAATCCGAACACGGATGACGAGGCGGAAGAGGACGACGGCAGTAACGCCGATGATAACGCGTCTATTACGTCCGACGGGCAGACGGTTGATCAGCAGGGGACTTTGGTGGACGAACAGGGTGGTGGTGGTGCTGGGGAAGACGGTGGCGGGAGCGAAGACGAGGAGGTAGACGACTCGGGTTCCGACGTGTCTTCCGGCACGGCGAATTCGTCCGACACGGACTCTTCGCGGGGCGTCTTCTCGGATGGAAAGCCGCGGATACGTCTTCGCGAGATTCTCTTTTACGACGACAAGGTGGCCATCTTCAAGGCGAGACATGGAAGGCTGTAGGCTACGCGGTTTTCTCGGGTCGAGCACCTCTGTCGCCGTTCGTCGGTTTCTGTCTAGTCCCGCCATGACGCCAGCTCACGAAACTGGCCCGCTTCATTCCAACCAAGGGCGGGACGGGAATAGAAGCAACAAACCCGTGACATGCAGCCCAAGGTGTTACCTTTTTTTTTTTTTTTTTTTTTTTTCCTTTTTTTCGTTGGGCTCATTTCACTTTATTTGAAACAAAGCGGGTGCTCAGAAAGCTGGCAATTTGGGGTCCATCCGGGTCAGTTATATCTCTGGGGCAAAAATCTCCAGACACGGGGAAGAAGAAGCAAAGGGCCAAGATCAAATTGGGGGACGAAATCTGGAGCAACAACAACACACTTGGAAGGGCGTCAAGTAGGGGAGTTTGTCTCTGCTACGATCAAAGATACCACTGCTTAAGCGGGATTTAATTTTTGCAGGATTTTATTTGCTTGTTGACGAGAGTGAGATTGAAGCTGGGGGGCGTTTTTCTCTGCGGATATTTGGCGAGATTCGATGTGTGTGTGTGTGTGTGTGTGTGGATGGATGGATGGGAACCGGATTATAACCACAGCATGACGAAAGGGCCTTTGGACTTGCCCCTTTTCACACCCCCTTTTCTTCATCCATTTACGCTACATCCCATGAAATTTGTTGTTGAGTGCTATTTATGTACCTGCGCATGATAGAATGAGCTCTATGGGTCTTGCCGCCACCCCTTTTTCCTCCTCCCACCATCTTTTCTATCCCACCGTCACCTGTTGGCCATGGAGGGAAAGGGGTTGAAAGAGCGTCCACTCCCTGTTCTTCGCTTATATTCCCAACGTAGACGAGGGTATCCAGTATGTCGTGGCTACTTGTCCGGTGAAGCAAAAGACACTGCGATGGAGATCGGCATCTCTACAGTAACCGACGTCATCCTTCCCGTCTACGCCGCAGACAGGCAGAAAACAGGACCAAACGGTGGTTGCAATTGACGCGCATCAAACCAGCCTCGCAGTCCTGCATCTAACCAAGAAAGGGCCGGGAGTGGTGAGGGATTGAGTCTGCCTCCTGCCACCGCCGCGCCGCTCTTTTGCGTGCAAACGCGTACTCGAACCGAATGACACCGGAACTGCTGCAGCACCTCGAGTCCTCGACCATCAAACAGGTCGCGGGGGCGCTGGAGCCCAAAGAATAGGCAGGCGGCAATGAGAGAGGCGGTCCTCAGATCACTGGATTAATCGTACAAGACATTCGACCGCGAGAGACTCGCCATCTCAGATTGCCATTTCAGATCGCCAAAGACTAGTTCCGGACGCCGATCGGGCGCCGGGCGATAGGTACATAATTACAACGTACATACAGCCTCAGCTCTGCGTCAGTGAGAGTGCCTGAATGGGTGTTCTTGTCGCCGGGGGGCTCGTTTCTATTTTAAGAAACAGTTAATTAGCGCGTACATGCTTCGTATGTACCGATACGGATGCCGATAGCTCGTTACTGATCCGAGACTTTTTTTTTTTTTTCTTTTTCTTTTTGACATGGAGGTGGTATTGGGGGCGAGGGGGAATGGAAGCTTACGCTTACGAAGGGGGAAGGGGGCTTGTTAGAACCACGGGAGGTGCCTGTTGATGTTATCGGCAGGTGCACACCACCCCTGGAGAGAATGAAATGAAACAAGGGGGTTTTTATGGCAGAACAGCATCCTTCAGAGGCAACCAGGTAGCATCGCGTATGTAGGTACGTGTCGGACTCTCTGGGGACAATTGACAAGCAACTTCACACCTGCCCGTTGGCGGTCTTCAACTCGGCCACGCACACGGGGATTTCCATGCGTTTCCCCTTGTAACCCACTCTTACCCTCCCTAAGGTAAAACCCCCCGCCTCCGAGAAGACCGATATCCCCGTGTGTACGGGGGGGAGTAAAACATACTTAGAAGCGGACTGTAGACTTGGACTTGCGGACTTGTGGACTTGAATAACTGCGTGGAGATAGTACGTTATGACCGTGCCGTGGAGAAGCTCCGTTGCCGTGATTTACCTGTCGTCCACTTGTCGGGCCTTGCGTTCCCAGAAAGCAGTGGGTGTCATCAATGTTCTTCTGTTCTCCCATCTAAACGTTCTTCCCCATATTCTTACAAGCAGGGGGTCAAGATGAGACGACGTGTTGAAACTGATAACACCATGCTTTGACTTTTATCCCGCCCAAGTCCCACTGGCGGTGGTGGTTCGCATGTTCGCATGTTCGCATGTTCGCATGTTTCTCACGTTCAAGGGGGAGAAGGTGTTTCTGGTAATTCATTTCCCATACAGTTAGAAGGCCAAGCGACGTGTTCCAAGGTACCTTACAGAGCGACAGAGCAACACGGTACAGTAGTATTGATTACGGGGCTGGAAAGGGGCGCGGATGCCAAAATATCTCGAGAAAAGCGGGATGACCAACCTCCTGCTGCAGGTGCCAGGGAACCAGAGAAGATCTGGCCTCGTGGTGGAGACATGGATGCCACATGGTTGAGGTACATGGCATGTTGTTTACGCATGCGCCTCCCGAGAAAGGAAACCGACTTGTTGCCGTTGGTGGATAGATATCCGGTGTGCGGAAGCGTTGGTGGGTAGGTAAAGGTAAAAAAAAAAAGAGAAAAAGTCCGGGGACTTTGGGAATGCCATGTGGGAGATGGATGCACGGGATAGGGAGAGCTGACGCGGGTTCCGACTAAATTAGTCGTTTGTACCCCCCCCCCCCCCCCCCCCC